ACACCATTGTCATCACAAAAATCAACAAATTTCTTGCAGTCGAACTGCTTTCCATGGTCTGTGACGATAGACTCGGGCAAACCAAAGCGGGTGAATATATTCTTCTTGGTGAACATCCATACTTGTGCTTCTATGACCGTGGCCAAAGGTTCTGCCTCGGTCCATTTGGAGAAGTAGTCGACTGCCACTATCAAGTACTTCATTTGGCCTGGCTCTTTGGGAAAGGGCCCAGGAGTTCCATGCCCCATTAAGCAAACGGCCAGGCTCCCACATTGCCCTGCATGGGCGCCGCCGGGATGTGAATGTCATTGGCGTGAACTTGGCATTGGTGGCAAGCATCCACATATGCCTTTGCATGCCTTCTCATCGTTGGCCAGTAAAAACCTTGCCTTAACAGCGTTTTTTCCAGACTCCGCACCCTCGCGTGCATGCCGCATGTTCCGCTATGGACCTCCTCGATTGCGCCCTTGCTCTTCTCTTCGTTCAGGAACCTCAAGTATGTTCCCGCGTGAGACCTTTTGTACACTTACCCTCGATTATGGAACAACGTGCTGCATTTCGGCGGAGTCGCCAGGCTTCTTTGGGGTCATCAGGCACCACGCCCTAGGTAAAAAACAACTCAATTGGTGCATTCCAACTGGGGGTGGCACCCGCGCCGCAGAGGGCAGCGATCAGATGTTCATGGGGCTCTTCTGCGATGACTATGACTTTCCTCTCTGCCGCGAAATCCACTGCGGTTGCTAGCTTAGATAAGACGTCAGCATGGGCGTTCTCCTCTCGGGGGACGTGAACAAAGGAGATCTCCCCGAACCAGGCTCCCATCTCCCTTACTCTTCGTACATATCCTTCAAGCGCCTCTTCCTTTACCTCAAAGACTCCATTGAGTTGGTTGATGACAAGGGCCGAATCAGACCTGACTTGAATCTTGTGGCCGCCCAGCTCCTTAGCCATACTGATGCCAGCAATAAATGCTTCTTATTCCACGGCGTTGTTCGTTTTCAGGGCCGCAAATCGCAACGCGACTTCGTGCATTGCACCCCCTGGGCTCATAATCACGATGCCTGCCCCAGCGCCGGTGCGACTGGCTGCCCCATCGACTTGAACTTGCCAGCAGTCACCCTCCCCTCGTTCTACCTCTGCTACTCCTTCCGCGATGAAGTCTGCCAAGACCCGGGCCTTTATCGCAGGTCGGGGCGCATACCGAATGTCAAACTCGCTTAGTTGAATCGCCCATTTGACGAGGCGCCCGGCCACATCCATTGGCCCCAACGTGGACTTCAACAGCAGGTTGGTGAGCACTATGATGGTGTGCGCCTGGAAGTAGGGCCTCAGCTTGATCGCTGCCATCACAACCGCCAACGCGGCCTTCTCAATGGGCGCATATCGCCTTTCGTGGGAGACCATGGTGCGAATGACATAATATACTGGCTTGTCTTGCACTTCGTTGGGTGTCTTTGGGGGTGAAAGTTTAAGGATAGCGTCGAACTACCTTGGGTTGGCTTCGATGCCTCGCTTAGTGATCCTGAAACCCAAAAATTTCCCTGCTTCGGCGCCAAATACACACTTGAGAGGATTGAGGCGGAGCCTATGCGCCCGCATAGCCTGGAACGTTTCTCGCAAGTCTCCCAAGTGATCCTTGCGTCTACGACTCTTGACTATCAAGTCGTCTACATAGGCCTCCACATTGCGACCGATTTGGTTGCGGAAAACATTGTTGACCATTCTTTGATAGGTGGCGCCCGCGTTTTTGAGCCCAAACGCCATGAAGCGGTAGCAGAAATTCCCGAAGGGCGTCATGAAGGTCGTCTTCGGCCGATCCTCCTCCGCCATGGGATCTGATGGTAACCGGAGAACATGTCCACAAAGCTGAGCATCTCATGATATGCGGTGGAGTCCACCAGTTGATCTATGCGGGGCATCGGGTAACCGTCCGTGGGGCACGCTCTATTAAGGATCGTATAGTCCATGCACATTCTCCAATCTCCTGATGGTTTTGGCACGAAACTACATTCGAAAACCAAGTGACATAAGCATTTTCTTCGACCAAATTAGCGCCCAGGAGCTTGTCCACTTCTACCCTGAGCGCCGCCTCTTTCTCTGGCGACAAGTTCCTGCGTTTTTGCTGCACTGGTCACCTGCCCACTTCGACCGCCAACTTGTGCACGGATGTCTCCGGTGGGACGCCCGGCATTTCCAATGTGCTCCACGCGAAAAGCTCCGCGAACTCCCTCAGAAGAGCAACCAGGCGCTCTCTCATTTCACCTGGCGCCCCCGCTGATATTTCCACCTGTCTTTCTGGGCGCCCTTCGTCCAACGCTACCAAGATTTCTTCGTCGGCGGCCTCAGCTCTAGGCACCTCTTCTGCCATGGTTTCCATCATGTTGACCCTCGCATCGGTGCATCGTCGTTTCTGCCCTGCTTCTTTTGCATAACGCGGGGCGCCCCGTCCCCGGGCTACCCCCACTCCTTGCGGAGCGATAAATTTCAAGGTTTGATGACAAGTAGATGCCACCCCGTTGAACAAGGCTAGGAGGGGTCATCCCAGGATCGCATTTTACGGTGATGGACAGTCTACTAATCCAAAGTCAATGCCGCGCGTCACTCTTTGTTCCCCGTCGCCCAAGGTAACCGGCAGGCGCACTCGCCCTATCACCCTGGCGAGTGCCCTGAAAAATCCGACTAGCACTGACTCCGATGGTCTGATCAACTCAGGCCATAGTTGCATGCGGGCCATCGTGTCATTGAATAACACGTCCATGGAACTCCCCGTGTCGACGAGCACCCTCCTTACTTTACACCCTGCCACCACTCCTTGTATCTCCAAGGCGTCTTTTAATGGGAGCATGCACGCCTCCTCGGGCGCCCTGTTGAAACTGATGTCGATGGCCTCTTGTACGTCGGTAGAGGCGGCTCTCAACCAGCGGTTTTCCTCTAGCTTTTCTCTCAAGTCCACCGTTCCTGAAATGGACTCGATGGTAAGTCGTGTTCGCTCGGGCGCCTTCTCTTGGTCGAGGACATAGGGCGGGGGTGGCAGCTCCGTCGCTCCTCGCTCTATGCTGGCCACAAATGCTCGATGCACCCTTTCTTCAGGCTTTTTGACAAAGTCATTGTGCTTCCCTCTATCCGTCACGCCTTGCAGCTCAGTTTTCAATTGGTAGCAGTCGGCCGTATGGTGTCCCACCTCCCGGTGGAAATCACAATATCGGTCCAAGTTCGCTCATTGCGCTGTCCCCTCATGGGGCCCGGCCATCGGATGTGGTATCCCTTTTCCTTGACGTGCTGGAGTATGTTTTTCATTGTGTCATTGTATTCTGCAAAGGCTCCCGCCCCCTGGGCGTCGGGCGCCCTGTCTCAACTCTTCTTGGCGGGGGGTGCTTCATGGGTGCATATCCTGGTCCATTCGGGGGATGTGGCCTCCTTATCATCTCGATTTCTTCTCCCCTCGTCCTTCGCCTATCTGCCCTTCTGGCCGCCAAAGTTTCTTCGAGCATGATCACCTTTTGCACTCGAAACATGCCATCGCTTTCTTCTCCTTCTTCCATCTCGGGTGTCAGCCCTCTGATTCTCTCAGAATGGTCTTCCGTGATCTCCTCTCCCTCTCCACTCATAGGCGCCTCCATACTCATGACTCTTGTTTATATTCCCCTACTGCTTTCGCCAACACGCCCACGTCTACTTTGCCTGGCGCCTGCCTACACACACGAGCACAGAGGGGGGGCTCCTGGGCTAGTTAGCCCTCCGACGATCAAGTCAGTCTCTTCCTAGAGAGAGAAGTGCTTAGAGAAAGAGTTTTAGTGAGAGAGTCCAACCTGTGTAAATGCTACCAACTGCCCCTATTTATACTCACCGAGCTTGAGGTGGATCTCCTCCACGTCACCGTCACATTAAATGCTTTGTACCTACCCTCCTGTCAGAAGCCTCAACCACCTTTTCAAGCTTCTGACGACTGGCAGGCGCCTACAGGCAGGGGACCACTTGCCAGCCTGGACTTCTTTGGCCCCTAGCGCTTTGTCTCCATGCCTATGCTGCCTGGTATGAAGTTGGCTTTGCGGGCTTCTTCTCCTAGCTCACTGTCTAGGGCTACCTTCAACTGAATGGGCTCTCTCGTGGACCCTCTTTTGGGCCCCTTTAGTGGTACCCCCAACAGTAACAATATTGAATTTGGATGGTATCATCTAGTTTAGGTTTGGATGATTCCACGTAGAATGAAAATGTTGATGTTGGTAGCTGTAGAAAGGTAGAAGAGAAGTCGATCGGGAAATGAAAGGAGCAAACCCGATTAGCGATTTTAACCAAGCTCCCCGATAGTCAACTTCAGACTCTATCAAAACGACACTAACCAAGTTCTTTTGATATGAGTTGATTATTCTCGGTGGACCTCTGAAGAGAAGCCCAACGAACTGGACACGAGCGACTGGGCCGAAGACTCAAACGAAGCCCAAGCCCAGAAGCTGAGAAGACCGAAGCAAGTCTTCTTTTTCGCAGTTTCAGAAAGAACAGAAACAGGGGAAGAGAAGAACTGAGGAAGCAGAGATCGAGCAAGCAGAGCAACAGCAGAAAACGAAATACACAGCAAGATTTTTACAAGGTTCACCACAGGGCTACTCCTCGTCCCGGAATAGTAGACACTATTCCGAGAGACACTTTTGATTTTCTGGTTTTTAGAAAGGAAAGGAAAGAAGAAGACTCAGATATAGACTCAATGTGAAAATCAAAAGCTATGGAGACTAGGACCGAATTCTCGCAGGAATTCACTTACACCTTTGATTAACTGAACCTATTCCTCAGTAAATCAAAGCCACAGACGATTCCCCAACCCTTGCCCTCTTCCACAAAGAGTTCCCGAACCGTGAAGAATTCAGACTGCACACTTCCTTTTAAAGAGCTTCAGGACAGGAGCCATTAACATTCAAATATCTCCAGCAAAGGAAAGTCTGATAATTTTCCAAGCTGAACCAGCAAAGACTGAACCATTCAGACAATAAAGAACAGTAACTAAGTCACTCGAAATAATATGCATCCCTGAGATCGGCCAAGACCTCTGCCAGAGATGGAGTACTAGAGGAAGAGTCATCATCTGAATTACTGCTATCAGAATTGTCGTTGCTGCTGACCCAGTGAACTTCAATTTCAAAGACATCATCTCCTTCAGGCTCAGCAGCTACCACGTCCTCCTTGTCTGGCTCTTCCATCGGACTGTCGTCATCAGAGCTATCACTGTCAGTACTGTCACTATCAGCATCAGCATCCTCATCCTCCCCCTCAACGGCAAGCGCAATCTCGTCAAGAATATCATCGACAGAGAGATAGACATTGGGAGTAATGATTTGGAAGGGATCCAAGGAGATTTGAAGGCGAATAATTAGACGAGTGATCAGTGGACCTAAGGGAAGATGGCCCAGATACTCGAATTGCTGGAAGGGATAAAGATGCCCGAACAGAATATGACAATAGTCAAGGGGAACATTGTGAACTGCATGTTGCAGAACCCAAAGATCAAGAGGAGTGACTCGATCCAGAAGAACAGTTCGAGTAAGAAACCTCCTAGTCAACAGATAGTGAAATGTACGCAGAGATGGAAGAAGGAAAGCAGTAGGCAACGTAAGATAGGCATCTGGCTCGTGACCAGTGAGGAGGACAAATTCCTGAACAATATCAAAATTGAACAGAGGAAACTCAGAGTCATTGGCCAGAATTTCTCCAAACCTAGGAATATTGAGAAGACGCCTAAGATCTTCGAGGGGAATAGTAACAAGATTGCCATAGATCAGAGTGGTAATAGTACGAGTGTGAAGCCCAAAAGATCGAAAATTAGAGAAAAATAAACGTACACCTTCAAGGCATATATGCTCAGGAGTATCATTTATCAGAAAATCCCAGCCCAGATTGTGAACAAACCTAGTTACATCTAGACCATATTCTATGAGTTCAGCAAAAGGAACATGATGAGTAGGTATGAAAGGACGATGAGCAAAGGAGATGGAATGACGATGAGCATTGGCTGGGATGGGATCGTGAAAGAGAGTACCTGTGAAGGTTTTGGAGAACCCTAGCACCATAGCTAAGACAGGGAGACTTCTAAAACCGAGAAAGGATAACTATAACAGAGACACAAGCATGCTTAAATAGATAATTGCAGAAACTAAACAGGAAGAACTAAAGGGGGCAAGACACAAAAAAAGGTAAATAAACACAGCAAAAAAAGAAAGATACAATCAATTAAGCAATGAGCAGTTAAGGTAGATTTTCCAGATTGTTTGGAGATCTTAAACCAATCTCATAACATAGAAAAGTAAAACTGTCTACATTTAAAGCCTTGGTAAATAAGTCTGCTAGTTGATATTCTATAGGGATATGACTAATACTTATGGTATTTTGCTGAACTAAATCCCTTATAAAGTGGTATTTAACTTCAATGTGTTTAGTTCTTGAATGCTGAACCGGATTTTTTGACATACAGATTGCACTGGTGTTATTACATAGGAAGAGGTATTGAGTTGATTATCACAATATAATCCCTAAGTTGGTTCTTAAGCCATATAAGCTGAGTACAACAGCTGCCTGCAGCAATATTTTCTGCCTCAGCAGTTGAAAGTGCTACAGCTCCCTGTTTTTTGCATGACCAAGAGACTAGAGAAGTTCCTACAAATTGACACGTGCATGTAGTACTTTTTCTATCACTTAAACTCCCTGCAAAGTCTGAATCACTGTAGCCTATTAGTGAGAAGTCATTGTTTTTGGGGTACCAAAGGCCTACTTCTGACGTGCCTTTTAAGTATCTAAAAATTCTCTTAACAACTGTTAGATGGCTTTCTTTAGGAGCTGACTGGAACCTAGCACAGATACATACACTATACTGTATATCAGGTCTACTAGCAGTGAGGTAGAGTAAGGACCCAATCATCCCTCTATATCTTTTTTCATCTACAGGCACTCCAGTTTCATCCTTATTCAACTTGAGATTCACAGCCATAGGGGTGACACTGATTTTAACATTTTTTAAGTCAAACTTGTTGAGCATATTTTGAAGATATTTTGACTGATTAATAAAGATGCCAGAAGCAGACTGTTTGACTTGAAGCCCAAGAAAGAATTTCAGTTCTCCCATCATACTCATTTCGAAGACTGACTTCATAGTTTCACAGAAGGAGGTGCATAGAGAAGGATCAGAGGATCCAAATACTATATCATCGACATAGACTTGAACCAGAAGAATTTTACTTTCTACTTGTTTGGTGAATAAAGTTTTGTCTATACTTCCTTGAACAAATGAATTTTCCAGAAGGAACGTTGTAAGGCGTTCAAACCAAGCTCTAGGAGCTTGTTTGAGTCCATACAATGCTTTATTAAGCTTATAGACATGATCAGGATGTTTAAAATCAGTAAATCCAGGAGGCTGAGATACATAAACATCCTCTTGTATGTACCTTTTTAAGAAAGCATTTTTAACATCCATCTGATATAAAGGGAATCCCATGTGACTAGCAAAGGCACACAACAGTCTTATTGATTCTAGTCTAGCTACAGGGGCGAATGTTTCATCATAATCGATGCCTTCTTCTTGAAGGTACCCCTGGGCTACAAGTCTAGCTTTGTTTCGAATAATGAAACCCATTTCATCAGATTTGTTACGAAAGACCCATTTAGTTCCTATAACAATCACATTTGGGGGTCCAGGAACAAGCTCCCAGACACGAAGATGTTCAAACTGGGTTAATTCTTCTACCATAGCCATATTCCATTCATCATCATCTAGAGCTTCTTTATAGTTTTTAGGTTCAATTTGAGAAACAAAGGCATATTGGCCTGGAGTATACTTACCTCTTGTTTGCAGTTTGTCATTGATGTTTCCTATTACTTGACTCTCAGGGTGGCGCTTCTAGATGTGAGGAGGGGCTTTGGGAGCTTCAATTGTGGCTTCTGATTCCTTACTGGAAGGTTGGAATTCTTCTGAATCTTTCACTGCATCATCCTGTGTACTAAGAGGAACTTGACAGGAGGTTGTGAGCTCACTTAAATCATATGACATGATTGTGGGAGAAGTTTCAGAATCAGTTTCATTGAAAACAACGTGTACTGATTCCTCCACTTTTCTAGTTCTTTTGTTAAACACTCTGTAGGCCTGACCTTTGGTAGAGTAACCAAGAAAGGTAGCAGGATCAGACTTAGCATCAAATTTACCTAGAGTGTCTCGAGTATTAAGGGTATAGCAAGGACATCCAAAGGGATGAAAATAGGAGTTTTTAGGAGTTTTTCCTTTTAGGATCTCGTAGGGTGTCTTGTTTAATTGTTTTCGAACAATTACTCGATTAATAACATAACAAGCTGTGTTTACAGATTCAGCCCAGAAGAATTTAGGAAGATTATAATCCAGGAGCATGGTTCTAGCACATTCGATTAATGTTCTATTTTTGCGTTCTACAACCCCATTTTGTTGAGGGGTACGAGGAGCAGAGAAGGAATGACTTATTCCAGATTTGTCACAGAATTCAGCAAAGTCATCAGAAATGAATTCTCCTCCATTATCACTACGAATGTTTTTTATGTTTTCTTTGTTAATAGAGACAAAATGGCGAAATTTTTCATATGTCTCATCTTTGTGAGCCAGAAAATAGACCCAGGAAAACCTAGAGTAATCATCTACTAAAACAAAAACATAGTTTTTCCCTCCTAGACTGGTGACATTACAAGGGCCAAATAGGTCCATGTGTATTAGTTCAAATGTTTTTGAGGTTGTAATGTCAGGTTTCGATTTAAAACTTTTTCTCCTTAGTTTTCCAGCAGCACAAGCATTACAGAAAAATTCTGCCTTGTCCTTGAGTCTAGGAATGCCTCTGGCTAGATTTAATCTGGATAAAACAGCTAGCTTAGGCAGACTAACATGCCCCAGCTTCTTGTGCCATAGATATTCAGAGGTAGTTGAGGATACTTGAAGACATTTAGCATTAAACTGACTAAGATCAGTAAGATCAACAATATACATATTGTTGATTCTTTTTCCTATAAACACAACTTTGTTATCCTTAGTTTTTTCAACTGAGCATCTCTCATTTTCAAACACAACTCGATTTCCATTACTGCATAATTGACTTATTGATAGCAAGTTGTGTTTTAAACCATTCACTAGTAACACATTTCTTATGACAGGATATGGACTTTTTCCTACACTTCCTGATCCTATAATCTCACCTTGACTATCATCACCAAAGGGGACTTTACCACCACGTTTCATATTTAGAGAAGTGAATAGGTGATTCTTACCTGACATGTGATGCGAGCATCCACTGTCGAGGTACCACTTGGTATCATCAGGTGAGTCAGGTAGATCCTTACTTGTTGTAGAGTACAATTAATTTTTCATAGAGGCCATAAACGCTTTTTCATCTTCGGATTCTTCCTCTCCTTCTGACTCATAGTCGCTCCAGGTTGCTGTCATGGCCTTTTCTTTTGCCCTCAGAGTTAGTGGGCAGTTTGTTCGAATGTGCCCAGGTTTGCCACATTTGTAGCAATCCTGAGCTTCCTTTTCATGAGATCCTGCATCAACATGTCTGGTCTGCGGGTTGCGCAGCCTATCTTGAAAGGAACTTTTGACTTTGTCAAAAGAGTTAGTTCGAAAAGATGCATTTCGATCAAGAGATTTTTGTTTATGATCTTGCTTATATTTCAGCATTCTGTGAAACTTGTTGCTTATTAAAGTAAACTCTCTACAGAATTACTCACCTAGTTCACTGTCCGATTCATATTCAGTTATCTGATATTTAAAGGCTAGAGTTTTCTTACGTTTTTCATCATCCTTGTTAACTTGTTTTAAAACATGTTCATGACTAAGAAGTGACCCAATTAACTCATCGATTGGTAAGGTATTTAGATTTATGGCTTCTTCAATAGCAGTTCGTTTAGGAAGCCATTCTTTAGGTAAGGACCTTAAAATTTTTCTGTTCAAGTCTTTCAAAAGATAGACCTTCCCTAGAACTTTAAGCTTGTTTATAAGAACAGTGAATCTAGAGTACATTTCATGAATACTCTCACCTGGAACCATGTCGAAGCATTCGTATTCGTGTACCAGAAGATCGATTCTGGTTTCCTTGATGTTTGAAGACCCTTCGTATGTACTTTCAAGCGATAGCCATATTTGCTGGGCCGAATCACAGTGCTCCACCTTATCAGCTTCATCAGGTACCATGGCTGACTGTAGGATGTGCATCGCTCTCTGATTCAGTTGAGCGTTCTTCTTCTGAGAAACAGACCACAAGTTTTGCTCGGCATCCTCCATGGGCATAGGACCATCGCGAACGACAGTCCATAGATCTTCATCAACACCCCAGAGGAAGGTCTTCATTCGCTTCTTCCACGAGGTGTAGTTGGAGCCAGTGAATATCGGCGAGTGATTATAGGAGGCATGCCCAAAATTTCTTGACGCCATGTTTGACTGGATCTTCTCTTGGCAGTAATTAGCTATCTCAAGAGCCAGGAGCTCTGATACCACTTGTAGAAAGGTAGAAGAGAAGTCGATCAGGAAATGAAAGGAGCAAACCCGATTAGGAATTTTGACCAAGCTCCCCGATAGTCAACTTCAGACTCTATCAAAACAACACTAACCAAGTTCGTTTGATATGAGTTGATTATTCTCGGTGGACCTCTGAAGAGAAGCGCAACGAACTGGACACGAGCGACTGGGCCGGAGACTCAAACGAAGCCCGAGCCTAGAAGCTGGGAAGACCGAAGCAAGTCTTCTTCTTCGCAGTTTCAGAAAGAATAGAAACAGGGGAAGAGAAGAACAGAGGAAGCAAAGATCGAGCAAGCAGAGGAACAGCAGAAAACGAAATACACAGCAAGATTTTTACGAGGTTCACCACAGGGCTACTTCTCGTCCTGGAATAGTAGACACTATTCCGAGAGACACTTTTGATTTTCTGGTTTTTAGAAAGGAAAGGAAAGAAGAAGACTCAGATACAGACTCAAATGTGAAAATCAAAAGCTATGGAGACTAGGACCGAATTCTCGCAGGAATTCACTTACACCTTTGATTAACTGAACCTATTCCTCAGTAAATCAAAGC